AAATTCCCCTGAAAAAAGAAGATTCTTCGTTTTCATTTCTTCATTTCTAATTGATCATCTCGATTTGGTTTTGCTCATTTGATTTATAGAAGGACATCGAGAAAAAATTGAACATTTTAGATAGATGCATTACGTGATAACTTTTTAATGAGAAAAATTCGACAGCTCTAAGGTCATTCTAATAAATCACTGTGAATTCGAAGTATTTCTTGTGGTTGGAATTATCTTCATTCAAACAATTTGATTGCCATTTAGAAGTTGCACTTACACACCACTCAATTTGTACAGCTAGAACAGCAAGCACAGGTTGAAATTATTCAGAGCTGGTGCACACAATAAATTTCCCCAACCAAACGCTTTTTCAAATTCTATTTCCATTGCAAAAAAACTCTTAATTCATTCAATCATTCACTAAAGACCATCAAAAAAATCTCCGATTGCCTCGTGCATAATACAAACAAAACAAAACTATATCTCATAAGATCAAATGGCGCACATCAAACCATATCGCAAACAGCAATACAACTTTCCATGGAAACCATCACAGAAACATCGATATTTCATTAAACAATCATATCCATACGATGATTGTATTTCATAGAAATGGCTATATTTTAAAATATTATCGACTGCAAAATCAATCATTTTTGTCGTTTTTCATAAAATTTATCATGAAACAAAGAAGGNTATTGGCGAAGCTTTTGCGGTGGCTTTAGTGAGAAATATAACACATAGAGTATGAGAGTGATTGATCATCAAGCTCTCTCTACCCAACACCATAGTGTTGGGTAGAGAGAGCTTGGTGATATATTTGATTGTTTTTAAGAGGATAAGCTTTTTTTCGCTTGAACTGCAATTTAAAAATTTCGTAACGAATATCGTATTGGATTTAGAGTGAATTCACGATCTTATCTGACGATCAGCATTTGAGATTACGGAACGACGATGCGATAAACTAAAACACAATGCACTGACACAGAGGTCTTATAATGCGATTTGCAACACAGAAACTTCAGATCATTTGTGCTGGATGTTAAATGATGATAAAAACTGAGCGATTCAACTGTTGACATTGGCTTTATGTAAACATTACTCAATGGACTCGACTGAATGAATTAATCTTCTGTTGATTCTAGTAAACTGGTTATTTTTGTGTATTGAATGACGTGATATTGTAGTGAATTTATTGGATATTACTGATGAAACAGCAGATAGAAATCTGTTCTCTGTTCACACTCTTTGATTGATGGTACCTGTTTCGATGGTCACCTGAAAATATCAGTCGATTATTTGTCTCATTCCAGGAATATTTGTAAAAATATTCAGGAATTTGCTGTTCATTCGCATGTAATCATTTTCCGAATAACTTAACGCCTCACTCGTTATTGAACTTATCAGAGTGCTTCTTTCTTCGTGCAAAATGATTGGATATACTGAGATCCGTTACTGATCCTAATCCTTCACGATGTTTGACGATATCTACATTTGTCACATCTTTACCTCTGAATCGAACATTGCTTTCATCGACTCACTACTTTTACGAGCGATACTTTGAATTGGTTGGCTGGCAAATCAACTAGATTCCATTTTATTCACAGTGTGACTTATCCAAATTCAGTTGGTTCACTTTGAGGATAGCGAATGAGCAATGAGAACTTGGTAATACTGGTCGTAAAGTAGGACTGATAGATAGATCAATTGTACAGTAAAATGAACTGTTCTCTTTATGATGAAACAATACAAATGACAGTAAACCTTGTAATCAACACTATCAAATAAAGCATCACTTCATTAGCATCACATTCGGTAATTTCATTCAACAATTATGTATAAATATATAAAACATCACTGAAAACAACTCGTCAACGAATAAACAAAAAAGCGAATGAATATAAAATATTAAACAATCAGTTTTCAAATGAAAACAATTAACAACAAACGGATAAACCCATAAGTACTTATAAGTAAACAAATTCTTCCAATTCAAAAACACATAACAACTGATAAGATATGAAATATGAAACTATGAAATGATCAAAAAACATATGAAACACTAAACATATGAAATGATCAATTCGTGTACTTGATCAAAATCTAATCAGTTCATGGACTTGATGCAAGATAGCGAAAAAAATTGAACGTCAGCGATTCAACAGGCGGAAATGAATAAGGAAACCGAGAGAGTGTAAGATTGGTCCAAGAAGAACAGGACTACTCGTATGAGAATATTCTGATAAAACTAGTTCAATTCGTCAGCTGAATTACTGCAAGAGAACAAGACATACGCAAGTTGGTTTATCCCTAAGAGGAGCAATAATCCTATTGATTAAAAGATACGAGGGCAAGATTGAAGCGAGGCGAAACTAACGATCTGAACACCACTTTTAATCGCCTAATAAAACTGCAGAGAAGTACGATCTTCTAAACTCTCAACATTTCCGAAAATTTTTAGCATTTTAAAACTGTGATCACGAGATCAAATCAAAAATTTGATTGATCTTTGCCAACAGTCAATGGAAAACACATCTCCCCTAAACACCATCTACACAACGAAACCATACTAGTATAACACCACTAATAGTTCAAAGAATATCACCCATTCATGAAGAATTTCTAAGTTTGCGCTCAGTTTTCATGAATTTCTCACTCTAATCTCTCAGCAAAGTTCCACTCAACACAAACGATCAAAAACTCAAAGTATTCTGATAAACTATCCAACATCTGATAAACTCATAATGAAAATTTTACTTCGCTTCTCATCAAAAACCTCGAATGATGTTCTGAAGGGTAGACCAATCACATATCAATGACAATATCTAGCTTATTGTAGAGACACAGTGTATTCGCGGATATGGAATGCTAAATTTTAATCGACACTTCAATCACATCAAAAATTTCCATAGAATATGACAACAACAAATATTTCTTATTACCATATCACCGTAACAATACAATATGAACAATGGTGTCAGCAATACCATCAATCAAAGTAATAACAATTAAAACAGATCATCCACTAACAAAACAGTCAAAAAAGTGGATCTGCTCTGCACAACAATAATAACAACAAAAACAATGAACAATGTTACAAATAAAATCAACTCTCTCACTCTCAAAAATAAAAACAGTTTTGGCATTGTTAGGTAGAATAACAGGTCGGTGGCACACAGCTGCAATAGAGAATATTTCGTATGAAATAATTTCGAATGTAATTATAAATATTCTGACAAGATAGCATAATAATTAGACACTGACCATTGCTGTAAACCAATGATGAACAAAACAGCAACAATAAAATCCATACATACCAAAAAAATTGAGCCATTGCATTCGTTTGAACGGATAATTCCAATAAAAAATTCAAAAATAATCAATTTCATTCGATATTCTCACAACAATATCAATTATTAAGCGAACATTTCAGAGGAATTCAACTAAAACTTAATTTTCGAATAAACGAAATTTCTGATGATCTCCAAAAACCTATCGATAAATTTCAAAGAACTGAAAAATATCATCACTAAAAACAGCGCAATAATTAATGAACAAAAATGGCAAATCATCGTCCGAATCGCTGATCACGTCTCGAAAACTGCTCCATAAGTTGAGCAAATTGCCTCCTATTCAATCGACCTCGTAAGTGCCGCATCGGAAATATTTCCGTTACACGTAAACACCACGGCGGATAGCCACACATCGAGCTTATACGACCCACTTTCAACAAAAAATCCGGCTCCGATAGACTTTCGTCGGACAATGCCTTGCAAATTTGATCTGTGCCTAGTATCGACGCATTCTTGTTGTTGTTGTTATCGCCATCACTGCCCTTACTGGTGCATAGCTGAAAATTTCATTTAAGGAGCATTTGAGAAAGATATTGCTGTCAGTATCATTGGATAATTCTCACTGTGCTCAGCTGGGAAATAAGCGGAATTTACTTAACCAAATCCAACCTTTCGACATATCTTCACCAGTGCTTTCTTTCCAGATTCCTTTCCCAACAAATTCACTTTGAGTGTTGCAGCTGGAGTCTCCCTCTGAATGCAATATCGGTCATCCTCACAATCGTTCAAATCATCGTAATCAGGCGAACTGAATCGTAGTGTAGGACGATTGAAATTTCGTGCTTTCTTCTGAATTTTTCGATCGTATTTCAAATTTTCACTCAATGCTTTCAGTTTGTACTGATTCTGTTGGATATGTGACCATGGATCATAGACACTAATTTCCTTTATACCCGCATTTGCACTTTCCATTAACAAATCACACAGTGTTTCCTGAAATTCCGATTTCTTTCATTGTTATCATTGTAATTATCGATACTATAACATAGCTGTTGTTGAATTACAATCTCGGCGCTATAATTAATTACTTCCATCTTCTTATTATTGAAAAAAACAAAATTCAGATAAGATGGCAACAAGATACTTGAAACAAACCAAACAAATTGACGATTTCTCCGTGTAAAGCACAGCCAAATGTTTTGGATATCGAATATTGCAGGTGGATTTTACTTCTGGATCGTTACCGTCAAAAAACGATTTTATAAAGGCTGTTGGACTTGATAAATAATTCAAGACAAATTCAATTAAAGCATAGGCGACCCGAACGCATTCTAACAAAACGTTTAACATCTGCAATTATATTGCCGGTCAGTAGTATCACCAGCACTAACACTGAGGTTTTTTTTAATGAGTTTTTACTCGAATTCATATGAAATTCAAATTTTAAGCAAGATTTAGCCACATCTATTGCATACTGGAAAATATTTTCAGAAGAGTATCACGAATACTCTTTCGGGAATTCAAACGAGGAGGTTTTTATGGATTTTCATTGCGTACTATTTGCAGGAAATAAATCTTAATTACGAGAAACAATACGACACGATGCATTACTTGGAAAAATACGTGACAGAAATTAGAAAATTTGAATCAGTTGTGAAATTTGCGAAGAATGGAATTTTTTCATACAAATGATAAAGATTCAAATCGATATGGGTCAAGAAATCGAACGGCTGGAACGTTCACACTTGTTTATTTCAGCTTAATCTAGTTACACGTATATCTAGCTCAATCTCTCAGATTCCAAAAATCACTTTATAAAGTTCACTATTAGTGTTACTAAATAGTTCATTTTGAAATCGCTCACATTGCAACTGAAAACCATCGAATCCGTGCATTAACTCATATTCACTGAATTCATTTTAACGAAAAGTTTTATGATTCTTTGCGTATTTTTCGTATAAATTCCGTGGAGCTCTGCCGTGAAATTTCATCTAACATAAAACTTCTCGTAAGTAAGTCTGCTTGTCGGAAAAAATTGTGGCCAGTGGAATGTTATGGCCAGAATTTCCGTGCGTGGAGCTTTTGAGTCAGAAATTTCGTACAATTTTTGATGTTGTTTGTTTAAAGGAACATACTTTCTCATTATTTATTAAATAGATATTCAAGTTAGTTCCAGGTGTCCATCGTTTTAGCTGCACCCATCAATCTACTGAATTTCGCGTGCAATCGTCTAGTATATTGTTTGTAAGATGTTGTTGGTCAGGAATATCAGATCAGCCTCATAATTGTGTTACGTATTTTTAGAGCCGGAATGGGTCACGGTGAGCCATTTAAGATTCCGAACTATACGATCTACAACAACTATCGAGAATTCCCTCAGTTGGCCGCACACGAACAACGCTTGGCACAAATCGGATTGAAAGACCCATGGATTAGGTGATTTACTGTGTTATTTCACCATCTCTCAAAACCGTATTTGAGCAGCTCGAACTACCGTTCTTCCCTTTAATTCAAGTTCGGAATTTCCGAATCAAGCTCGAGATAGCCGTAAGATTCAGTTTCATCGCGTGTGAGTCGAGTCTCCGTGGTTGTTAGACTCAAGTTTGGTAATTACGTTGACCCATCAGTTACACTTTTTGAAGTGTCAACGAAATTTTTCAATTTTCCCTAACCGTAGTTATGTAAAATTCCCACAATCAAAGCGCCGTTCATGATAGAATGGTGTTAGTTAGGGTGTTCAGAGTTCTTTTTTCAGGAATTATGTTTACTTGTACGATAAACACTATCCGCACGTCGAAGGCCAGTGGGCTCATTTCAAAAAGTTGATCCTCCGAGGCTGGAAAGGAGGCGTAGGATTCGCTGCAGCCGTAATCGCTATCGAAGAAGGCTATTCTTACTGGAAACATGGCCATACCAGTTGGGATGCACATCATTAAGATTTGCAGGATTAATATTAACTTGCAGTGATTTTCTTATTTCATTTTGTTAGATGTATTTATTTATGAAGATTTGTAGATAAACGTATGAAGTTGATTGTTGTTGTGTGTTTTTTCACATCGAATCCGTGAGTGTGTTTGAAGAATTGATAAAGTCAGTGTTAGTTGTATTGGCAACAAAAATTTTCTAAACATTAGGAAAAATTCATCAAGTAGGGAATTTGAAGATAATACAGTTTGCTGAGATCATGACTTGCACATTCAACGATAAACTTACCAAATACTTACTCTAAGAACGAACAGTTAAGCTGGAAAATCCGACTACAAAAGTATCATTAGAAATAGATGTGAAATACATACATTCGCAATTGTAAACGAGAAGATGTGCTCAGTCAGCATCGATCGAGCTGCTCAAATTTTCATCCGAACATGCTTCTGAATGATACTTAAATCAGTAATTCCACTTGCATCCATGCTCAAACATCCGAGATGTTCTACCTGAACATAAGAAGTAAACGGATACATAATCGATTGAATTACTATAGGGCTACCATGAACACCACCTTCAAATCAGCGGTATCTTCAACTTTGCTCAGCAACTCGGGAGTATATTTCAAAATCAACTTCAGGAGATAATTTCAGCTAAGTACAAATGTTTTCGAGTGATCATGGATTGACTGATGCAAAAAATTCATATGTTATTGGGCAGTTGAGCTTACGGTAGCGTTGAAGATGCCACCCCAGATAGTATTGATAAAATGCCTGTACCTCCTCAACTAAGCCAAATTGATCAATAAAATTTTTAATATTCTGAATCTAGAAGTTCTACAGGATCGAACGGCGAAAAGAAATCTGCATGTTTCCGGTCAAACCTGAGAAGACGGTTAGCTCGAAGATCGCAGTCCGCCTATTGCT